GGGCAAAGATTTGAATCCTGGGCTCTGCTAAGCTAGGCAATCTCTCATCGTTTAAGGCCACCATTGCCTTAAAATTGGGCTCAGCATTGCAGGCAAGGCTTCAGTGGGAAAAGCAATCTGGATTCTTGCTCCTGATCATTATCCCCAGCGCCACAAGTATACATCTGTAAACACTGGATAAAGACAGGATATTGGCTTAGCTTGGGTCCTCCACAAACAAAGTGCCTGTGACATTCCTTGGGAGTCTGAGTGACGGAGATTTGTCACTTTGACACCGTGGACTACTCAATCCTCCTCCACCGCCTCCCACCTTAACCTTCAAGGTTCTGCCCATGACTGGTTCAGGTCCTACCTTTCACACCGCCTCGATTTCGTCGCAGCAAACAGCTTCTCCTCCAGCCCCCGCACTGTCTCGTGCGGTGTTCCTCAAGGCTCTGTCCTCAGTCCCCTCCTCTTCACCTTCTACATGCTCCCCCTTGGCGACGTCATCCACATGTATGCGGATGACACCCAACTCTACCTCTCTGCTTCCACCCTGAACTCCAGGACTACTGGCGTCCTGACCGACATCAAGTCCTAGACGAGGGCCAACTTTCTCTAACTCAACGTCAGCAAAACCGAGGTCCTTCTGATTGGCTCGCGCCAGCGCCTCCGCACCTCAGGCACTAGCAGAATCAGCCTCCACGGCTGCACACGCAACCTCACTAAGCCAGTCAGGAACCTGGGTATCTTGTTTGACCCTGAACTGCCCTTTCTCCCCGACATCTGCGCCATGACTGGCACTGCCTACCACCATCTCCGCAATATTGCCAGACTCCGCCACTGTCTCACTCCTCAGCTTGCCGAAACCCTCACCCATGCATTCATCACCTCAAGGCTTGATTACGGGTCTTCCTAGCTCTTCCCTTCACAAGCTGCAGATCATCCAAAACTCTGCAGCTCGTGTACTTTCACGCACCAGACTCCGTGACCCCATCACTCCCACCCTCGCCCGACTCCACTGGCTCTCCATACCACAGAGGATCGAGTTCAAGATCATCGTCCTCACCTTTAAGGCCATCCATGGCCTTGCCCCCTCCTACCTCTCTGACCTGCTGATTCCCTATCAACCTGCCCGCTCCCTCCGTTCATCGGGCTCTGGCCTGCTCCATGTCTCCCGCCCGACCCGCCCTACCATCGGTGGCCAGGCTTCAGCCTCTCTGCCCCCACACTCTGGAACTCCATCCCACGGTCCCTTCGCCTCACTTCCTCTACAAATGTAATTTTGTTGTTGTGTTGTAACAGAAGTGGTGCTCTTCCAGTTTCTAGAAATAGTAGTGAGGCTTATTGATTATAATAACCTAGTCATTTAAATTCAAATCTCTTAAATTATTGTAATAATGCTTGCATTTGATATGGTGCCCTATCACATCGAAATGTCTCAAAGTGCTTTGTACAGTGAGTTAGTTCAAAATGCGACGAAGATGTGGGCAAATGCAGCAGCTAATCTACACCACAAACAACAAGGAGATAGATTGACTAATTATTCGGTCCTGTGGTGAGTCAGGGAGAGGGAGGAATATTGGTCAGGGCACCAGGAGAACTTCCTCTTTGTCTTCAAAGAAGTGTTGTGTAACATCAGCCGTTTCAACTCAAGTGCATGCATTTTAGACAACTTAAAGGCTGACCGCTTCAAAAAATCTGCTCAGCTGAAGAAGGCTCTTTCTCACTCGTTTGATCTCTTCCTTCCAGAATACGAACCTGCCATCTTTCCATTGCAGCACCAAGCTGTTTATTAAATTATCCATCCATTCTTCAAGGTAACCCATTCAAGCTGTCTCTTGACCCTTGTTGCAAAGTAATACTTCCTGTTGCCTGTCCTAAGTTGCTCTTCTTATCCCTGACACTCGTATCCTGCCTTTTCCGCATATTAGAGTCTATTGTTCTTTTTTGTCTTCTGTCTTGTTCATTAATGATATTTCCTGATAAATCATTTGCGGTTTAGAATGGAGTAAGAATGGCAGCACTAATCCTTTACAGTTAATGAGAATGCTCTCTCTAGATCTTGGGATAACCAAGAACATAACTGAATGAACATGGCCATCATCTTCAATCACTGGCTCGGAAACCACCGCATTGTTTTGTTTCTTCCCTCTTTGAGGCCACGAGTTATTTCGCCACTCCACAATCAAGTTACAGAAAATACATGGTTAGGACGCTAACAGTTGCGGTGGCTGTTGGCTTTTCATGGTCCTCCCCCATGAACTGTGATGGTTATTAAAAAGGTAGACATCTGTAGAGCAGTCTGGCAACCTATGCGACTAAACCCACCACTGAAGTTAAATTCATCGAAGTTCGGATATAAAGCATAGCCCTTCTGCTGAGAGCTCGCCAAACACCCTGCTGCTGGAGATGATCTCTTCTTAATAGTTATTTTCACAATTTGAACGCTTTTTAAAGTGTTGCTGTTTTAAAGGACATAGCGTGGATATTGGAAGAGACGGCCTGCTTTTGTTGCAAAGTGCAGATATCAGCTTGCAGTGATCTGAAAAGGCAGTCTGTGCAAGTTGAACAAAAGGGACAGTGTCTCTTTCCAACCTTTCCTCATTGCAGAAATACTTTGTAAAAAGGGGAGGCAAAAGGAGCCGGGATTCGGGTTGCCACGGAACACCAAGTTCTGTGCCTTCCATGCTTATATTACATTTTACAAGAGTTCTTTATCCCAACCTGTACTCGGCCTGAAGGAACACTTCCGTCCAACCCCACAATTCTGTCTGTTACGTGATTCATGAGGCACTGAGTAATGGGAAACAGAAATTTATTCTTTCTCCAACTGTTCCCAAACTTGGAAGTTGCAAGACAAAAAAAGCATTTCATCTTCTCAAGACAGCTCTTGCTTTCAGCGCCTCGCCTCTCGGCCAGGTTTGTTTTCCATTGGAAATGTTTGGATAAAAAAAAGGGAACCAAAAGATTGGCACATTGGTGCAGGCATGTGCAATTGAGAGCTGCTCAGACGATGGTTTGCACTGCCACAGTGCATGGTATTCCCTTCCCAGTGAGGTCAAGCCTCAGCTTCACTTCACTAAGTATTGGTTAATAACCACTAATGAAAGCAACTCAAGTAACTCTCACTAATCACTGATTAGCACGACTGTGCTCCACTATTACACTGCACCTTATCATCACTGTTACATTAGGTACTGATGCTTTGCAACTTTGGAAGAAATTTCCACTGTCTAAGTCAATTCTGGAATTAAATCCCAACACCCCTAAACACGAAAGCTTTCCAAGCGTTAAGTACAACTGGCTTACAGGTTCAACAATGGTCTCAACACAATAAAAAGGGCTTCAAATCCAGTTACTTAAGACTCTATCTGCTTTTCTGTCGTTATCTGAAACTTACCATCCCTGTGCAGGGGGACATCTGATGTAGCAGAGCAAGTCATGTACACTGGGGTAGATAGCAAAGCTGGATTGGAGGTCGGATTCGTTAGGAGGTAAGAGGACATGAGTTGGTGAAGGGGCTTCTCCTTTCTTCACCACAGATAAACAAACAATTTCTAATAAGGTCAGACTTTAATAATGGCTGTAATTGGAAGCAGTGGGACAAATTCTGAGGAATTAACGTCTCCCGGGCAGATTAATGAATTGCCATCTGGTACCATCCCAGAACTACTCAGAACTTCAGAAAAAAAGTAAGCAAGCAAGAACCAAGGTGCACTGTCTTCCCTCGTTGGGGTAGGAATGAATGAATGGGCGAGAAGCGATGACCTGGACCATTTGTACAAAGTATGGGGTGAGGTGAAATTATTGCTCTTATCAGGAAAGCTTCTCAGGAAACCTTAAGGTCTGATATTCTGACACAGTGGTGGCTAACCCACGGCCTGTGGGCAGGAAGTGGGGCTGTTGTATGTTCGCATCAGTCAAGGTGAGTCTGTTTTCAATCAATGTTTTGTTTCCAGATTTTTCATGATTGAATATTTCTTGATTTGTGCCAATCAAGAAAATTGTTTTTGTTGGCCAACCAAAAAGTTGGCCACCACTCTCCGAAAACTACCTCCAAAGAAAACCATGCTAAGATAATGGGTTCAGAGATACTGAAGGCAGCATTATATACAACGTACTATCTACACAGATACCACGACTCAAGTCAAATTAAATCTCATCTTGTGTGGTCATTTTGCAGAGCTCTCTCCTTTCTTAGAACAGAATGAGGTCTCTTGTGAGGCGTTTATTTTCCCCATGACAACGGTGCCTCTTTAAACACTGATATTGTACACAGTTTTACACATTTATTCAAACGTATACTTTGCCAGAATTCTAAGTAAGTCATCTAGTGGGACTGGATTCAGGGACCTGCAATTGATTTTAAAAAAAGGAGAGTACAGTCAATGAATTTCAGCATTATGTGTGTCATGTGTTACTTTAGAAATTACGAGAAAGTCATCCATTGAGTAAGCTCAACACAAGCCCTCTTCATAGAGATGGAGCCTATCTGGCTCTGAAGGTAACTGAAACAATACAAGAACGGGCATTCTCTTTGGAGAAACTATTCAACAAGAATACTTGCTACTGTATTCGTTTCACCTCCTTTAGTCTGTGCGGGCAACCACAGCAGATACCAATGCCCCAGATCCAATGGAGAAGCCAAGCAAAGTGAACGTGGGTTCAGAAATAAACAGAGAACAGAACGTAGGTTAGTAGCATCTGACAGAGAAACGTTTCAACTCATAAAAAGAGTCTCCTCCAGGCAACCTGCTTTAGTTCTGATGAAGGGACTGAACCAAAACATTAGCTGGTGTTTGACCTGCAGTGTGTTTCCATCATTTTCTGTTTTTATTTCAGAATTCCAGTGTTTGTGATTTTTTTCCTTTGACCTCTGAAGTTTTAGAGTTCAATTTGCTGATGCTTATATGCACCTGCGTGGCAGTGATATTGGAGGCCAGGTAGAGGAAAGACTCAAGACAAGACATAGGCACAGCATAGAGGTACAGATTGACGAATAAAAAACAGTCACTCACCAAGGGCGCACAGCAAGCACTTGAGAGCTGTCAGTTGGGAGAGGCACGAGACAGCATTCGATGAAGCGTTGCAGAGATGGGGCAGGAAAAGTCTGGTCAAACCTGGATTAGCCAACTCCTTCAGCCTTTAGAAGCTTGCCACCTGGTGCTGGCTTGGACCAGAGGTCACCGACATTGATTTGTGCATCGGCGCTCTGCCCGGAGAGCGGAGTTCAATACCTAATCAACAAGGAGAGAAACGGTTAATCATAAAAGAACAAAAACACACACTACTTGCTATTAACAACTGCTTCCAGGGCAACTATGATCAAACTCCAATATTTCTCTTAATAGTAATGGTAAGTCATACATAATATGCTTGTAATTGGGCTCCCCCAATGATCTAGTGGTTAAAGGCAGCAACCTGAGTAACACAAAGCCATACAGAGGAGTACAGAGCAAAAAATGGAACATTAGGACGATGTACTGGAAAGCTATGAGTGGCAATGGAATTTACAATTCAACAAGGATCAGCACCTTCAGGTAGATAGGAGGGAAGAAAAGGCGGCCTCCCACTATAAAACCACAAAATAAACTAGTTATAGTGCCCAGAGTCATAGTACCGAGTCTGTGTGAGGAAGAGTGGGGAGGGAGGCATGTAGCCGTGTTTTGTGTTGACAGAATGTAGTTGAGTTGGGTGGTAAAACGTACTGGGCAGCTTTTCCTGAGGTATAAAAACTCCCAATACACAACACAGTAAAATGAAATCTAGTCCCACATTAACCACAGAGCCAAGATTACAGACTGTGTAGGAAGCATTTTCCCACATACTGTGAAGGGGGGGGGGGGGGGGGGAGCAGAACAGCATGTGTACAAACCTAATTGTGGTAGCACCTTTTGATTCACAAAGGGGAATTGTTGGGAAAAGCTCCTAAAATGCACCATGTCAGTGAAATAGCCTCTGGCACAACATACCCTGCAGTGCAACAGGGCATCTCTGCAGGGCGATGTGTATGTATGATAACAGCGTTGCCCGTGAGAAAGGCTGGCGATTTGGTTAACTATAGTCTAAACCCAGAGTGACAAAGAGAATGCCACAAAGGTTTCTGTACCTCAACTAACCTGTGTTTATCAGATGTTAAACGACCAACTAGTGACTATCCTCCTTGAGGGGCAAGTAAGTGGGGCCTCCTTGCAGCTGAACTGGCTCCAAGGTGACATGCCTGGCAATGGAATGTCAGAATTGAGTCAGCCCTCTGTGGTGGTCTCGGTTCCTGAGCCAGGCAGGTCAGCAGTGTTTCAGGGTACTGCTGATGCAGCACAGCCTGCCTGGCTAATCGACAGGACCTGGAAGGGCAGACCAGTCACTGGGGGCAAGGTAGGGTGGTCCTAGCTGGATAAGTAGTGGGAAAGCTTGCCGGACGGCAATATCAATGGCAAGCTATGTGGTTTTAGCTGGTTAGACTCCAGCAGTACCCCAACGCACACTCTGGGGTCCCCAAGCCTTGGCTCTTGCCAACCTGTGCCTTATACTTTTTGGAATTAGGTAAGCAGGATGCGTCCTCCAGGGAGAGAGTGTGCACATTCCATTCCAACAATCTGTCTCTGGGATATTCATGTGTAGGTGGGATGCATGGAAATCTCAGCTTGGTTTGGATACTCTTAAGCAGGGTGATGGGCTTCCACATGTATCAGACACCTGGCTGACCAAAAACAAATCTTTAGCTGGTGAGAAGTGCAACAGATCAAGAGACAGACGCTGCCCATTTTAGAGCCCGTAGATTTGACAGGGAACACGAGGTTGCAGATTAAAATAGATTTGTGACAGGGCTGGAGCCCATCATGCCACATGGTCAGCTGTCTGCGCGAGACTACTTATGGTATCAATAGTCACACACGCACATTGCCACCCTTCAGCCCTCAGCAAATCACTGATGTGGTGCCCTCAGACACAAGGCATGGAAAAATTAGAAGACTGCACTGATCAGGTGCCAAAGGACACTGCCAACATTTTGTCAACCACGTTACCTACAGTGATGCTTAAAACAATATCCCCTCCATTTACAAAGTGCATGTGCAACCAGTGTCCTGGTTCTTAGCTCAGTCTCTAATTAAGTTTCAAAATACCCTGATCTATTTAATCCTCGCTCACTCACAACAGCTGAAAAGTGCCATAATGCAATTCCCCAAAGTGGCTGCAAACACTTTGCAGCAGTTGTGTGGGTTACATTTTCTGAATGTCACTCCCAATTGGAAAGCAGTTTCAAGCTTGTGACTTTCGAATCAGGTACTTATTCCCTCTTACACTTATGCATTTTTATTTGGTGGGGGGCGGTGTAAGAAGCGGGAGTCTTTATTTGATGATGTTACTAGCATTGAAATATATTGCAAATAATTCTGTTTTTTGGAGAGCTCCAAAGCCAGAGCTGGAAACATCAAGGGGCAGATGGTTGCTGCTCACAATTACTGTACATATCCCAAAGGATGCAGTTTTGTCTGTTCTGCAGTGGCTGCTCTTATCCAGGACACCAGTAAAGGTGTTTGTTTGTGGGTTCAAGCCCCAGATTGGTATAATATAGTGTTGGGGGACGTTGAATTGTCAGAAGTGCTATCCTTCGTATGAGGCATTAAATCAAAGACCCATGTATCTATTCAGGTGGACATTAAAGATCTCATGACAATTTTCCAAAAAGAGAAGGGAGTTTCTCCTAGGGTTTTGGCCAACAATCTCCCAAATAAAACTGGGGGATTCACTTCAAAGCTGTTACAATTGTACGACATTGCTATGTGCAAATTGTCAGACAAAAATACAGTTACTGCCCTTGACAGCAAATCTTGTGAAGCACTTTGAGGAGGTTGACAACATGATAAGATGCTGTATCAAATGCAAAAATGATTACTAAAAATAACTGGAAGGTTCTGGCTTTAAGTCCCATGTTGGAACATGGGCTCAGAGACCAGGCTGAACACTTCAGTGCAGTGCTGGAGGAGTGTTACATTGTCAGAGGTGCCACCTTTCGGATGAGTTGTTGAAAATAAGATCCCGTTTGCTTTCTCAGGAGTATGTCACACATATTCAAAAAGAGAAGGTGAGTTTCTCCTGATATGCTGGCCAAAAATTACCTATTCACCTCAGGGCTGCTTGTGAAACTTTAGCAGTGCAAATGACTTATGTATTTACCAACAAGAAACACGGTCACTAGACTTGACAGTAATTACCAGTAATTCACTGCCTAAACTGTGAAGAGGCTTTCAACATGATAAGATGTTATAAAATCCAAGTTCTCTCTTTCTCTCTTAACTGAGTGAATATTCAGAACGCCTGCAGTGAGCAGAGAGCACATTTCCATCAAAGCAATCGCCGCGCACAGACAACAAAACCCCATTTCAACCCGTGTGCCGTGAGCGGAGGCTGTAAAGTAAGTGACAGGAATGGAACAAACACTGAAGCAAATGATATGGATGAGAGGGTGCTCCTCTGTGATCCCCAATCATATCCGCTCCAGTTTGCAAGATGAGCGCAAAGCAGCCATTCATTAAACAGCCAAGCCATTACTGAACTATGCAAGCCTCACAAGGGTGTGTGATAGTGAGGAGTGCGTCATGGACAGCCATTGCTAAACGACTTCTTGGTTGGTGCAAACAATTTGCATTAGGTATCAAAGGTCAGGCAAGCAGCTGCTGTACACGGCATATTTTAGCATTTAATTTTTCACTGTTGAAAAATGTTTGCCTTGTTAAAAACAAACTACTTCTTGCTTCTTTGGGTTTCATGGTTAGTAATGACCTTCTTATACATCACCCTCGTGGGTCTCCTTCACCTGCGAGTCTGGACAGCCAGTGTCAGCAGGCTATTCGCTGACTGAGACTGTGAGAATCAAGCCCAACCTTATTCCCATTTGATAGCCAAACACTGAACGCAGGAGTCGCTGTATAGCATAATGGGAGGCAGCATGCAGGGTCAGGAACCCTAGTTGATTTGCACCCCCCACATCAGCTACAGCTAATTGTACAACCCGCAAGTGTCGCCCTGGGTGCAATTAGCTAACTCAATCGAACCTCAATCTGCCGAGTCTTTATAGCTAAGTACTCCTTCATGATTTACTGGGCTGCGAGTCCCCCAACCCCTCCATACCACCATCGGCAGTTATGCCTTCAGCGACTATGCTCCTATCTCTGGAACTCATTGCCTCAAACGCTCCACCTCACCCCTTTTGAATCCCACCCGGCCTTCTTCTTAGACCTTCCCCATGATCGCCCTCGCTCCCCCTTCTCCCTTGCTAGGCATTCAAGCCTCCCATTATGCAGCACTTCAAGATGCTATCCTGCTTAAAGGGTGCTATATAAATGCAAGTTGTTGTTGATACTGGGCCATCACACAAGGCTGCACAGTGCACTTCATTTGCCTTGGCTACACTTACAGATCAGCGAGTGTTACCCTCATCACTTAAATGGAAAGCCCTGAACTCGGGCTCACAGACTGCAAACTCTTTTCCTTTGCTTTACAAACCACTGTTTGAACGCAACGCCTCCCTTTAACTTCATTCCAGGCAACCCAAGGCAAACTATGAGTAACACATGGAAAGAACTGACAAATCTAATGGGGATTAGGTCACGCAAAGTGCAGCACAAATCCATACTGTGCAATACAACATTAACCACTGATGTAATATTGCACATGTACGCCTAAAATAACTGTGCCTTCTGGAGGCAGGCTGCAGTCAGGCCCTGTTGCTAAGTGGATAATCTCTTCCTCATTGTTGCTAAGCTATTGCTCCCTTTTTAAAATTTACTCTTCCACCTGTTTGCGCAGGAAACGAGGGCAAACCAATGATTCTTTATTTTTTTAAAATTATCGTGGTAATTTTCTCAGCTTTGCGCTTGGGATTTTTACATTTTATTCACATGAAACCGTTGGTGAATTCAGAGTGAGCGAATGAGAGACGGCATTTAGAAGCCTGAGTTACCAGAGACTCGTTCCCACAAACTGGGCCTTTGTGCTCACACTGAGGTCTTCCCGGCTCGACTGAAAAGGGGATCAGAATCGAAGTTAATTATTCCCATGCACTGCACTATCACAATCCACTTCCAGCAGTTAATGAGAAAAATTGCACCAAAGGATTCTTTAACTGGAAAGTAAGTGAGACAAAGGGATGAAAGTGGTTGAAGGCATCAAGGCTTTAGCAATTCTTTTTTTATAAGGTGCAGTGGTTAAACATTACCTCAGGTCTTAGCTCACA